CACCCCGGGGTGGGGCAGGGCTGTGGAGTTGTGGTTTGGCTCTGGAACGAGGTTTTGGAGGGGTCCCGTTTGCTGGGGCATCTTTGGGAGGGGGATTTTGGGGGTGTTTATGCTGTAAGGGGAAAGGGGGTTTAACCCCTCGCCCTGTCGGGGTTCGTTGTACAAGGTGGATTTGAACTCGGTGTGTTTAGGGTAGTTCTAAAAAGGAGTTTTGGGAGGGTTTAAACTTCCCTGCCCCCCCCCCATTTAGGATAGTTCTAAAAGGGAGTTTGGGGGGGTTGGCCCCCATTTGGGGCAGCCCTGTAAAAGGGTTTTAAGAGGGTTTGGCTCCCTTCTCATTCCGGGTCTCCGTTTAAACCCTCCCCAGTTCCATTTAGAATAACTCTTCTAGGGGGAGTTTGTAGTGGGCTTAAACACCCCCCTATGTAGGGGAGTTTGGGGGGGTTAAACTCCCTCTTTCCCTTATCCAGTTATCCAGGATAATAACTCCCTTATCCTCCTTATCCAAGCTGGTTTTGGGAGAGTTTTAAACTTCCCCCATTTAGGGTCTGGTGGGATTTAACATCCCCCTACCTGGGCGGGGGGGGGATAGCTTTACAAAAGGGGTTTGTTTCCCTTCTTTTCCCTAAATTATTTCTATTCGGAGGGAAGGTGTGGGTTCACATCTGGCCAGATGTTGAGGGCAGGGAGCTTTGCAAGAGAACAGAGCAGGGTTTAGGAGGGGTTTCAGCCCCTAATTAGGACAGGGCTGGGATCTGGACCCCGGAGGGGTCACCGAGCCCCCAAACCCCCCCCTGTGAGCTCAAGCAGGAGCCCCCCAGCTCCAGCCCCCCATTCCCAGCCTGTGGATGTCGCATCCCTGGAGATGATGCCCCCCGAGGAGGAGAGCCCGGATGGGGACAGGGACGGTGGCCTTGTCCTCCTGCAGGGCCCGAAGAGCGGCAGCACACGCAAGGTGAGGATGGCCCCATATCCCTGTCCCATCCCTAGCGATGGCTGTGCCCATGGATGGGGGCACAGGGATATCCAACCCTGCTAGGGGTGGAAACGGTGTCGCTGCCCCATAAACAGCCCTAAACAGCTCCTCATCCCTAAAACTCTGCTCCTGAATCCCGGCTTTTCTGCTGGCTGCATCCCCAAGCTTCCCAGCGCCTGCTTCTCACCTCATTCCCTGAGATTTTGGGGTTTTTTTCCTCTTTTTTTCCTCTTTCTTGCCCCTGGGAAGCTGATTCAGGCAGGTATTCCCATGGAAATTAGGATGTGCAGGAGAGATGGGGCTGTTCTGCTGAGGTTGTTGTTTAATGACCAGCATTTGGGATGGAATCAGTGGCAATTGTCCTCAGGCTGCCACCAGCCCCTGATTTCTTGGGGTCAGAGAGGATTTAGAGAGCAAGAAAATGTGGAAAACAATAATTTTTTGATCTATTTAAGTGTTTTTCCCATTAGTTTTTCCCCCTGAGATCCAACAGGACAGCAGCGAGTTCACTCCATAATCTGAGCTCTTCTTGCAAAAAGTCCCAAAACTTAAAACACCCCTAAAAAAAAAAATCCCAAATAACCAAGAAAGGGGAACTCAGACAAGCTCTGGAAGGGATTTTTTTTTTTTTCATTTTTTTATCCCCCTGGATCAATCTGATCTGGAGTCACTTGAGCCTGGGCTGCAGCTCAAGAGGTTGCAACCTTAAACCAGGTCGGGGTTTAACTCGGGGCCTTGTCTGAAGAGCAGGTGCTGCTCGTGGGGGAAGATTAACAGGAGGGATTTGGGAATTTTTTCCCCCAGTTTATTCTCTTTGGGTCTGGAGCACAAAGAAAAACATGGAAAATATTGCCAAGCTTTGGAGGGAGGACTGGGCAGGGCCATCAGCAGCCTCTGTCATAATATGATTATTTTTTAATTAAAGCAGCAGAACACCTGATGGGCTGTATTACTTTATTTTTGTTATTGTTATGTAAAAGAAATTATCAATGCAACCTTTTCCTGCTGTTTTTATCACCCTGACAACATCAGGAGCGTGGATCCATATTTTCTGCCTTGCAGGGGATCCTGAATGCTGCTGAAAAAGTGATTTTTAATCCTTTTTTTTTTTTTTTGGCCAAGTTTTCTGTCCTAGGAGTGAAGACTTAATCCACCTGTTTCCTGCTGGCACCTTGCCCTGACTCTGTGCTTCCCCCACCTCCTCAGAGCACTTTCACTCTCCTAA